TCGGAAGCGGTCCACTGTTCTGGCCTGTGCGAGGTGTGGCTGCCGCGCAGTCGCTACGCCGCGCATGCCACACACCCGAACTACTTTCGCGCGAAGCTCGTGGGTCGCGACGCGCGTGGGTCTGGGCGCTGTCGGCGTGGCTCGCGAGAGGCAGGGCGGCGCCGCGGTCGTGGGAAGCCGTGCGGCGTTCGGTGCTGCGCGAGGCGCGGCGGCCGGGCAGTGGCACGGTTCCGGCGCCAGTTTTTTAGTGGCTCCGTCGCCGTCTTTTGACCGGTTCCGTCTCCGGTTCCAATCCTGGAGCCGTTTTTGTTGCCGTTTCCGGGCGCCGTTTTTTTTGCCGTTACCATTTTCATGGGACATGTTTCAGGAAACGGTGAAAAAACGGCCCTGCCGTTTCCGGGGCCCACTAAGGGATAGACCTCCCACCCTGACGCGTCGATTAGCGAATTAGCCATTTTCGGTTCGCGAGGCGGCGTCGCGGCCGTCATTTCTGCGGGTCCAGGTCCGGCGGTCTCGGTCTCAGGCCGTTTTCACGAAAGGGTGGTTTGATGAAGGGAGGTGTGTCCGTCGCCGCAAGAGGGCCGAGGACCGACGGCCAGAGTGTGAGCGGTGAGCAGGAAGAGGACATTGTGCTCTCTTTTCCAAACGGGCAAAGGGGGGTCGTCGCGGGGGCGCGCTGGCGATGCGACTTTCTGATCTCAGCGGTGGCGTGGTGGGTCGGAGAATCAAAGAGAAGGCGGAAGAGGAACACGTGCGTAGCACCCCGCAGTTGCGGATGAGAGTGGGCGGGGCGCCGGGACGTTTGCATACAGCGAGGCTCTGAAGAAGCCTGCCGCAAGCCCTTGTTTTTGACAAATTGCACAATGAGCCCGCCGAAGGCGCCGATTTTTTGTTAAACAATGGGGCTGGGTCGCGCGCGGGTCGCACGTGGGTCTCGGGTGAGTCGCGGGTGGGTCGCGGGCCGGGTCGCGGGACGTTCGTGGGTGGGTCGCGGGTGGGTCGCGGGCGGGTCGCGGGGTGGGTGGCGGGTGGGTCGATGGCCAAGTCGCGGGCCATGTCGCGGGCCAGATCGCGGGGGGGACGACAACATGAACAACAGCAACAGCAACAACAACAACGACAATATTTTTCAGAGTGAGGGGGCCGAACGGCCATTCATTGTCCTTTGGTGCGTGGCTTAGGTGGCGATCTGTGGTGACCATTCTGCTTGTTGCGTTGCAGTTGTTGTTGTTGTTGCTGTTGTTGCGGTGTTTGTGGTTGTTTTTGTTGTTGCTGTTGCTGTTGTTGTTGTTGTTGCTGTTGATGTGTTGTTGTTGTTGTTGTTGTTGTTGTTGTTGTTGCTGTTGGTGCTGTTGTTGTTGTTGTTGTTGTTGTTGTTGTTGTTGTGTTTGTTGTGTTTGAGGTTGTTGTTGTTGTTTGTGTGGTTTGTTGTCATTTGTTGTTGTCATTTGCTGTTGTTGGTGTTGTTGTTGTGTTTGTGTTGTTGTTGTTGTTGCTGTTGCTGTTGTTGTTGTTGTTGTTGCTGCTGCTGCTGTTGTTGTTGTTGTTGTTGTTGTTGTTGTTGTTGTTGTATGTTGTCGTCGTCCCCCCCGCGACCCACCCTGCGACACACCCCGCGACCCAACCCGCGACCCCCCCGCAACCGCCCCCCGCGACCCACCCCGCGACCATCCCGCGACCCACCCCGCGACCCAACCGCGACCCACCCCGCGACCCACCCGCGACCCACGCCGCGACCCATCTGCGACCCGCCCGCGACCCACCCGCGACCCACATGTGACCCACCCGCGACCCACCCCGCGACTCACCCGCGACCCACACGCGACCCACACGCGACCCACCAGCGACCCACACCGCGACCCAGCCGCGACCCATTTGCGACCCACCCGCGACCCACCCGCGACCTACTCACATTGGTTTAACGCAGAAATCGGCGCCTGTGGCGGGCTCGTTGTATAATGTATGAAACTTTGGTGCTTGCGGCGGGATCTCCAGAGTCTCGCAGGCTGCCGACGTCGTCACCGCCCCTTCACATTTATCCGCATCTGCGGGGTGTTTCGTAAGACTGTTCGCTCTCATCTGTTCGCGCGTACCTCACCACGTATATCCCAAACCCCCGATACCCGCCCCCTTCGTCTTCGATCGTACACCGTCTGGGGGGTACATCTTCTTGATTCGCCACGCGTATTGTAGCCAGTCCCTGAAAGAGCAAGAGGAGTGAGAAAGGAGAGAACGAGAGAGAGAGAGAGGGTGATAGCGACAAAACTAGAGAGGGAGAGAGAGAGAGAGAGAAAAAACAATCATTGAGAAAGCGAGGAGGAATGGAGTGGGGGAAGGGAGGGAGGCCAAGGACAAGAGGGAGGGAGCAAAACTGCGGACGAGACAGATTCGAAAGTGGTTGGCTTAAAAGAGGATCCAGAAAACAAGCGGCAGACCCGGACGGTTGGGTCGGGCAACGGTTCCCAACGGGCTGGTCGGGCGGGCGGGGCTTGCAGACCTACGGGCGGACCCTAACGGGTGGGTCGGGCGTGCGGGACGTGAAAGCACTACGCGAGCTTCCAAGCGACGGGTGCCATTGAGAGCGCAAGCGACGGGGGGCCACGAAGGGCAGCGTCTGGGCCACTGAGGGCAGCAGCGGCGCCACAACGGGCAGGGGGGGGGGGGGCAAAAGGGGCTACGCTGGGGCCACGAAGGGGAGCAATGGGGTTACTGAGGGCACGAGCGACTGGGGGCCACGAATGGCGAATCTATGGGCCACAAAGGGCAGCGAGGGGCCACTGAGGGCAGCGGGGGGGAGGCACACGGGGCTACTGTAGGGCCACGAAGGGCAGCAATGGGGACATTGAGGGCACAAGCGATTGGGAACCACGAAGGGCGTGTGTATACATATATATATATATATATATACGGGCCAGAAAGGGCAGCGAGGGGGCCACTGAGGGCAGCAGCGGGGCCACGAAGGGCAGCAATGGGGCAACTGAGGGCACGAGCGACTGGGGGCCGCGAAGGGCGTCACGATCTATGGGCCAAAAAGGGCAGCGAGGGGCCACTGAGGGCAGCATCGGGGCCACGAAGCGCAGCGAATGGGCCTCAAGAGAAGGGGCCACGAAGGGCAGCAATGAGGTACAAAAGACGCGAGCGAGCATGGGGCACGAAGGGCATGACACTGACGGGCGGGCCGAGCGGGCGGATCGATCGTGAGTTCTGCGTGATTCGCCAGGAAGTTCCGGCGAGAGACGATTCCTAAGTAAACTTGAGGACTTGAGGAAGTCCCCATCGAACGCGCCATTCCTGAATGGCAAGAGCGCGGCGCCTGCGTAAATTGCGAGGAATTCCCAGGCGGGAGCGCGATTCTTGAGTAAATTGCGAGGAGGTCTCAAGCGGGAGCGGGGGACCGGAGTAAATTTCGAGGAAGTGTTGAGCGGGAGCCGCTGTTGTTGTAAACCGGGGGCCAGGGGCTGAGTTTGAAGAGGAAGACTCTCCATGATAAAAAACCAGGTGCGAGCGCTGGGAGGGGCACTTCAATTGAAACATACAATGTGCACCGGAGGGGGGATCAACAAAAGTGTTTCGGATATGATGAAAGTTCAGCAATCACAACGCAACGCAACAGTCACAATCATCATCCGCGCTGCGAGATCCCACATTATCCACGCGCCCATGGACTGTGAATGACCGTTCGACCCTGACACTCTGATATGGACGACCACGACAGCGGGAACAATGTTGGTGAGAACAAGGACGATGAAGCCGACTACCACGACAGCGGGGTTTTCGTTTGATGTTTCGGGGGGCCGTCGAACAGTTCCCTCGTTGCTTTACTTCCTCCTTCTTGCGCCTCTATCGCCCGTTTACGCTGCCTCTTTTCCACCTTCATCTCGGTTTTTCGTCCTCAGAGAAGAGTGGCGGGGGATGGGGATGACGAGGGAATTGGACAGGTAGGGCGATTGGAAAGAGGACGAGGAGGAAGAGGAGGAGGAGGAAAAGGAGGAGGAGGAGGAGGAGGCGATGAGGAGGAGGAGGAGGCGAGTAGGAGGAGGAGGAGGAGGAAGAGGAGAATGATGATGATGAGGAGGAGGAAGATACGCTGACGACGGGCTGGGGAAGCAGGTCGTCGACGACAGCAATGGCGACGGCGAAAACGCAACACCGACCCACGGACCACTCCCAGACCAGGGGCTTTGGACATCCTCGCGCGGTGGCGAGATCACGACGGAGGGTTCTTTGTAATTGTTCGATGTCCAGCGGTCTTTCTGGCCACGTCGAGTGTCAAAGAGTCGTCGCTTCTCCGTCGCAGCTCGACCCCCAGGCCTGTCCTGTGGTTTGCTTTTATCCGCAATCCCTGGTTGGCTTGAGCCGTGGCCACTCGAGGCATCCAGGATACAGTTGGGGCGCAGAAGAAGGAACATGTTTTCTTTGGTAAGGGGCTCGGTGTTTCTTGATTGACGTACAGTTTGCCTGAAGTCTTCCTTAGGCTTTCGATGGGAAATCGAAGTTCAACTTATTGAAAAAAAGAGGCCTCGTGCCTTGTTTGGGGTTCCTTAGGTCAACGCCCCGACTGCATTCCCAAATAATTGGAAGTGCTTGATCATCAATCTTCGAGTCTCTGGGTGATTGGGCCGACGGCGACGACGACTGCGGCTAGCGCAGGCGGCGCCCGACATCCGAAGTCTGCCCTCGCAGCTCGGGGGCCATTCAGGGCCCAGGATGGGGGCCTTTCGGGCCCGAAAGAGGGGACCTTTCTTCCCCCCCAATTCATCCCCCCAGTAAACTCGCGCTCCAAAACTTCCCGCCGTGGTTTCCTCATGACCCGAGGGGGAGGTCTGGGACCTCCGAGCCCTTGGATGCCTGGCGACGGGCGCTGCGGCCGCGGTCCCCTCTGCGGCGCCGACGACGGCGACGACGGCGACGCCGACGCTGACGCCGACGCCGACGCCGACGGCGACGGCGACGGCGACGATGACGACGTCGTCGGCGACGGCGACGGCTGTCGGGCGCAGGCGGCGTACGCCAACACTGGCGGCGCCCCCGCGCCAGAGGGCGGCGCTCCGCCGCCCCCGCCGGGCGACGCGCCCCCGGCGGGCGACGCGAAGAAGAAGCCGGACGACGTCATCGACGTGGACGGCCAGTAGGCGCACGGGGCGCCTCGGTCTCGGAGGAACAGCGCCATCAGCACGAACTTTTTGGCGACCCGCGCGGGTCTCTCGGGCCCGCGCTGGGCCCCCTGGCAGCGCCTCCAGCGCCGCCCCTGGCGCGCTCCGCGCGCCAGGGAGGGGGATCCGGCGCGGATCCGAGAAATCCGAGCGGAGCGCCAAACGTTTATGTTAATGCCATTTGTTTTTCTTCTGTGGTCGCCGCCGACGGCGACGACCCTGAGATCCTGGCGTCTTAATTTTTCGTGCTGGGCGTTTTCGCCTTTTTTCGGGCCCCGGGGCCCTCACATATTGATCCAGCCTGACAGAATGGTGCAGCCAGACGGACGTTTTCCACTGAAGCTAACCAATCGCCGCCACAACAGCGGCCACTGTGGATACGGGGCAACATTTGCTGTTGGTCATCGTGCCCATGTTTTCCGTACCCAGTTGAGACATGTTCATAAGGAGATGTCGCGCTATTCTTAAGTCGGGCATGTCCCTCTACAGATGGAGTCTCTGGACTATTTCTCGACTACTCCAGATGTCGTAATAAAAGGGAGGGGGTCTGGACCCTCCAAGACAAGCCATTTCAGACCCCCCCTCGTGGGAGAACCCTCCAAAACATCGCCCCAAGACCCCCCAGGCCCTCCAAGATAACCTGGAAGAGACCCCCCCCGAAATGAGACACCCTCCCTTTTATTACGAAATCTGGAGTATTTTTGAATACGCTTCAACTATTTCAACTACGCCCGTAGGAGGACATGCCCGACCTGACGCTACCGTGGCTCAGCCCATCCCTTTCTGACTGACCCGGGCTTGGGAGCCACGTGGAGCCGCCCCCCCCACTCGTCCCCGCCCTCCATTGACCCGGCGCTTTGGGATCTGCTTCGTTGCGTGTCACATGGCCTTGGCTGACCGGATTCCACGCGTCCCTGATTCGCTAGTATAGCAGTTTCGATAAACTCAAGGGAGGAAAAGGTTTCCATGCCGCTACACTTCCCTCGTCTTCCCGTTTTGGGGCCTCCCGGGAGGCCCTCGTCGCCACCGCTGGATTCGCTTCGAAATCCTGGTAAGAACGCACCCCAGGAGATGTCCTGGGAGTAGCGGTATCGGTACCGTTTGCTTTTCCCATAGCAGGGACGATCAACCAGGACAATCCGAGCATTTCAAGTAATGCAGACCGCGGGTAGTGCCCGGATGTGCTGCCATTTGTCCATCATGTGTTTCATGCCAATGCGCCGTCTTGGCGGACACTCCACCTGGTGGACTGCCAACTAGACTTCGTTAGCCTCTCCCGGCACGGGCGACCTCAGCAGAACATTTCGCTGGATATCCGCGCGCATCTCCTGGTCGCCGTTATTTCATTCATTGCTTCGCCGATCGGTGCGGGCCCCTGGCGTTCCCCCTCCCCCTTGGCATCGCTCGGACGAGGACCGCCGAGGAGCATCCTTGATCATGTGACGAAAAAACCACGCACGAAACCGACAAAAGCACAGGGAATGGACGTCCGAGCGTTCCCCCTCCCCCGCCCTCCCACAGATCAGATCCTGGCCGCTCTCGGCGGCTGCTCTCGGCGACGGGTCAGGACCCCACCTGCTGGCGCGGCTGCTGGGAACGTCGATCGACGAAGCGCCCGCCCAGACCCAGACCCCCCTGCCCCCCCCCACCCTTCGGCCATAGGTGCCGAAACCCAGAATGTTTTGAAAACGCTTACCCGGATCGTCCTCGGACCCCCCCCCTCCCCCCCCCCACCCTCCGGCCATAGGTGCCGAAACCCAGAACTTTTTGAAAGCGCTCACCCGCATCGTCCTCGGACCCCCCCCTCCCCCTCCCCTTGGCATCGCTCGGACGTGTGTATTTTTCCTCGGCGGGGACCATCGAGGAGCATCCTTGATCATTTGACGAAACAAAAAATCACTGCACGGAACCGAACAAAAGCACAGGGAATGGACGTCCGAGCGGTGGCCAGTCCCCCGCCCTTCGGCCTAGAGCCGGAACCCCCCCTCCCCCTCCCCCGCCCTTCGGCCTAGAGCCAGAACCCGGAATCCCTGGGCCCCCTGCCGCCACACCCTCCGGGCGACGCGTCGCGCTCCGCGCGCCAGAGTGAGGGTGTGCGGTGGGAGGGGCGCCAGTGTGTGTGTGTGTGTGTGTCCACGGCGTGCTCTGGCCTCCCGCCCGGGCCTCCCAGGTGTTGTTGTTGTTGTTGTTGTTGTTGTTGTTGTTGTTGTTGTTGTGGTTGTTGTTGTTGTTGTTGTTGTTGATGTTGTTGTTGTTGTTGTTGTTGGTGTTGTTGTTGTTGTTGTTGTTGTTGTTGTGTCGTTTTGCTTTGTTTTTTTCTCCCGAATTAAGCAACTGGATTAATCCTCAGCCACTTGTCTGCTGCTCATCGGGCTTGTCATGGCATTCGCCCGGGCGAAAGAAAGAGAAAGGTGTTTTTGCTCCCACCCGGTGCTCCTCTCCAGAGTTCTGTTATTTCGGTTGCTAATGTTTTTTTAGTGTTCGGGTTTTTGTTCTGGGTTTGTGCTTTTGAGTTGTTATTCCTTTGGTTTTTTTGGGCTTATGGATGGTACCGCATCGGCGATGCCGCGCGATGCGGAGCCCGACTTTCTCCGCGCCGACCTCGTAGATGCACCGCCGATGCACCGCCGATGCATCGTCGATGCATCGCCGATGCATCGGCGTTGCGGTGCAATCCTCCGACACCATCTATTCGGACCCCATCTAGGAGGCCTCCATATGTCCATGGCGTGCTTTGGCCTCCTATGCAGAAGGCTTGCGCCATTCCACCGACCCCCAGAAGAGTGATGAAGTACACAGGTGAGCCTTCTTGGGGCCTCTTTCCGGACCCTCCGGAGGCCTCTTGGGGGTTTCCGGGCCTTTTGGGACCGTTTTCGGCGCTCGCTGGCGGTCTCGGGGGCTCTCTCGGGGCGGAGAGCTATCAATGTCGCCTCACTTTTGTTCACATTCGTAGGTCAAAATCTCTACACTGAGACGGATGCAGGGCGGGTTGTTTTCAACAAGAGGGCTCGCTGTAGTTCCGCGGGCATCCGTCTTGCACGTTTGCACGCTATACGGATTGAGGGCGGTTCTTTTCCAACATGGTGTTATCGCTTAAGACTTCTACGCACTGTGTGCGTGTTTTTTCCCCCCCCTCGAGCGTGTACAACAGGTGCGCGGATTGGGGTCGGCCTTTTTTCATGAGTTTAATGTCGATTACCAGTTGTTCCTCACTGTACCGTCGTAAGTGTAGAACGTGTGCAACAGTTACACGGGCTGAGGGTGCTTTCTTCTCAATCGGGGGTTTCATTTGAGCCACCGCAGCCACCTGTCTTCCTGGAAACGCCGATGTGGCGAAACGTTTGTCAAAGCTAATGGACTATGTCTCCCCCAGTCGTTGTGGAAATCCTTCGGAGACCATTGGGGCGAGGAAGCCTGGAAGGCGTGAGAGACGGAAGAGGAGGAGGAGGAGGAGGAGGAGGAGGAGGAGGACGAGAAGATGGCCTCTTGGGGGCCTCTTAGGGGCCTCTTGGGGCCTCGTGGGGCCTCTTGGGGACCTCTGGGTGGCCTCTTGGAGCCGTCCGGAGCCGTCTTGGAGAAACATATGTCATCTTGCGAGCTTGGGAGGGCATTCTGGACCATGACGGAGGCCGCACAGTGCCATCTTGGCAACAGTGCAGGCCGCAGAGGAGGCTTCTTTTTTATTTTCGAGATCCGCCCGGGTGGCCAGGAGGTTGGGCCGAAGGGCGGTGGGATCATTTTTGTTGGGCAGTACACTCAGGAGCAAGAACATCTGGGGAGAAAAAGCAGTCTCCGCATGCTATGGGCGCGGCAGACCGAAGACGCCTGCGGCGAATCACCGCCGCCTCCTTCCTTTCCGGAATTGCTGGTGCGGCCAAACGTCGGTCGCAAGGTGGGACAGCTGATTAGACTATGCGTTCCGCCAGACCTGGTGGAGCGTTGGTTGAACACTTGGGGGAGGAAGCGGATGAAGACAGGAAGGAGGAGCACGAGGAGGAGAGGGAGGCCCCTTCGGGGGCTTCTGAGGGCCCTCTTGGGGCCTCGGGGGGCCCTTCGGGGCCCCGTCGGAGCCATCTGGGATCGTCTTGGAGCCGTTCTACGTAGGCCGCCTTGGGGCCGTCTTGGTCTTCTTGAAGGGTCGTTTGGGGGATAACCAATCCGTGTCCCCAAACCGTAGGCGTATGAGCACACCACGCAGCTCGCAGAGCTGCGGCGACCGTTGTGTGGCGGTCCCCACTTATGGTACGCAACACATGCAATTACGTAAATATGTAATGTAATCCCACATATATGTAGACTGTGTACCGTCTTGGAGACCGTACAGCACAATTTTGCACGAGTTGGAAGCCATTTTAGTCGTTTTGGAGCCCATCTTCAGCCGTCTTAGAGACTATCTTGGGCAGATTGGAGCCGTCTTTGGGCTCTGATGGGCCGTTTTGGTGCTATAGTTGGGGCCGCTAGGACAGTCCTGAGCGTGGTAAGGCCCGAACGCGTACGAAGGCAACACCGTTGAAAATGAATCAGGTAAATGTATTTGACTACGTTCGCCTTTAAAAGGCCTGTGGGGGTCCTCTGGGGGTCATCTTGAGATGGGCCGTCTCGGGTCGTCTTTAGGCCGTCGTATGGCCATGTTGGTTGTTTTCGAGGCGATATTGAACTGTCTTGGAATTCATATCGAAGACGCCTACGGCGATTCACCGCCGCCCCCTGCCCTTGTGGAAGCGCCTGTGTGGCCGAGAGTTGGGCTAGAGCTTGGCCAAACTGTCGGACCATGAGTTCCCCGAGTCGGTTTGGAAAGGTTTCGGGGAACGCGGGGGGGACGAAGGGGAGGAGGAGGAGAAGGGGGGAAAAGGAGCAGGGGGAGGATGGTTGTTCGGAGCCTCTTGAGGCCCTCTTGCGCTCGATTGTGCCATCTTGGGACCGTGTTGGAGGCCATGTTGGGGCTATCTTGGGCTCTCTTGGGGCCTCTTGAGGGCCTCATGGGGCCCTTTTGGGGCTTCTCGGGGGCTTCTTCGACTGTCTTATGGCGTTCCTGGCCCGTCTGACGCCGTCGGGAGCCGTCTTGGGGGCCTCTCTGAACCGACTTTGGGCCCTCTTGGAGGCGTCTTGGGGGGCTCGTGAGGGTCTCTTGGGCCGTCTTGAACCATCTTGAGGCTATCTTACGCCGTCTGGAAGGAATCTTGGACCATCTTGGAGGCATCTAGGGGCCATCTGAGCCGTCTTGGAGGACATGCTGGCCGTCTTGGAGGCGTCTTGGAGGCCGTCTTGGGCCGTCTTGGAGCCGTCTGGAGCAGGACAACCACTTGGCAACCGCCTCCAGGCATCTTGGAAGATCTTTCCGGGTGGCCAGCGGGACGGGCCGAAGCCTCAGGGGGAGTTCTTTTGGAAGAAGAACCAAAACCAAAACCGAAAGGGTCTAGCACGCCTGGCACCCTTGCGATGAATCGACAGGGGGCGGCAGATCAAAGACGCCTACGGCGAATCGCCGCCGCCCCCTGCCTTTTTGGAAGCGCCTATGTGGCCGAACGTTGAGGCCAGACCTGCCAAGCTATCGGACCATGTGTTCCCCGAATCGGTTTGGAAAGCCTTCGGGGAACACGTGGGCATCTTGAAGGTCATCTCAGCCGTCTGGAGGCCATTTTGACGGCCGTCTTGGGGGCCTCTTGGGGCCGTGTCTTGGGCCTCTTGGGCGATCTTCGGGGGCACTTGGGCCGTCTCGGGCCGTCGGAAGGCAGAAAAAAAACAAATGCCACAATCCCTCAAACACCCATGGGTAATCAATGATTTTTGCCTTTTCTGGCCTTCCTGGAGGCCCTCTTGGAGGCCTCTTGGGCCGTATTGGGCCATCTTAGTGCCATGTTCGGCCGTCTTGGTGGGCTCCTGGTCCGTCTGACGCCGTCGGAAGCCGTTGGGGGGCCTCTATGGGCCGACTTGGGGCCCTCTTGGAATGCTCCAGGGCCGTCTTGGAGGCCTCCTGTGCCGTCTTGGGGGCCTCTTTGGGCCGTCTTGGGGCCCTCTTGGGCCGTTCTGGGGCCATCTGGGCGGCCTCTTGGACGATCTTTCGGCGATCTTTGGGGGCTCTTGGGCCGTCTCGGGCCCTCGGGCCGTCGGAAGGCCGAAAAGAAGCAAATGTCAAAGTCCGTCAAAAACCATAGGCAAATCAATGTTTTTGGCCTCGTCTGGCCTTCCTGGAGGCCCTCTTGGGGGCTTCTTGTCCTTCTTCTCGGAGGTCTTTTGGGCCGTTTTGGGGTGATCTTGCGTGCCTCCTGGGCATCTTGGAGCGTCGGAAGGCTGAAAAGGCGAGAACTCCAAAATCTGTCAAAAACCTAAGGCGCATCAGTGATGTTTTTGCCTCTCGGGGCCCTCTTTGGGGGGCCTCTTCGAGATCTCGGTGGCCGTCTTGGAGGCTTCTTGGCCCGTGTTCGGGCCACCTTGGGGACTCATTTGGCCATCTGGAGGCCATCGTGCGCGTCTTGGAGCGATCTTTGGGCGACTTGGGGCCTTCTTTGACCATTTTGGGGACCTCTTGGAGCCATCTGGGTTGATTTTGGGGCCCTCCTGGGCGTGGTTTTGCGAGGCGAGCGGTTCCGGCGGACCCCGGAAACGCCCGGGAGAAGAATCGTCCTGGGCAATAGATTTCACGATGTTGGCTGCAGCGTCAGCAGCACAGCCCTGTGACTGAGGCACGCTGGCCGGTGATCTCATCAGGGCCGTCTGGGAGGAATGTTGCAGCCATGTTGGAGGGAGCTCGGCTCCGTCCTGGCCCGCGAGGCCCCTGGCCGTGGCAGTCGTCGGCCTGGGACGACGGCCAGTGGGGTGTTCTGCGCGGGCCGCAGGGACTTATTTTGACCTCGGAGCGCCAGCACCCCTTCCGCAAAATGCGGGGGCGGCGGAGCGAGTGGCGTCCAACTCGTCGCGTCGCCGCGCTCGCGTCGTCGACCGGGTGCCGTTCGGTGGCCTCTCGGGTGGCCTCCTCGTCGGGGGCCTCTCGGAGGGCCTCTCGGAGGCTCTGGGGCTCCTCTCATTGGGGTGCTTCTGGGCGCCCTCTCGGGGGGAGGGCTCGACAAGTGAGATCCTGGCTCCCCTTTTGTGTTCTGCGCCCCTTCTGGATGTGCCTCCTGGGCCCTTCATTGGGGGACGGGGGCCCGTCTTCGGGCCACCCTGGGTGAGCTCTGGGGCCTCTGCTGCCAGCCCAAGGGCCTCCAAGGCAGCCCACAAAAGGCTCCACACCTGGCTCCAGCACAGGCCCTGTGACCTGTTTTGCGCACGTTGGATGTTGAGGCGCCTGGGAAAATTCACGCCGGGCACCCTGATCCCCAAGAATTTCCGTCTGTGGCGGTCTCAGACCCTTGAAGAGTACGTGCATCGTTCAATTTTGAAGAATCCGAGGGTCTTGAGGGCCATCCACACAGTGCCTACGGCATGTTGGTGGGTGATCTTGGTCTTCCTGTTGTTAGAGCTGGAATCATAGACGACTGATAGGTTTCAAGACTAGGTTCTCGCCTAATTGGCAAGGGCATGGATCGCGCGTCCTTCCAGGGGGGATCCTCCAAGAGTCCTTCCATATGTTTGCTCCAAGTTTGTTGTGTTGAGTGCAGCCTTTTTCCCAAGACGCGCAAATCGGTTTCTTCGACTGAACAGAGCTGTGGGTGTACCTCATTTAAACACGCTCTTCAGCGAATTCAAATGTGTGTTGTTGAATGCGTTCGTACCGTTTTTTCCTGACACCACGCGGAGAAGGAGGAGGAAGGGCTAGGAAGAGGAGCCGGATTACCAAGTCTTGGATGTTTCTGGGCTCTCTTCTGCGCCTCCAGAACTTAGGGGTGGTGCTCGTGGTGTCCTCCGCAGACCTCCGCGGAGGAGCCCTTCTGAGGCCAAGACGTCCTGACGGCCACGTGAAGCCGCGGCTGTAAAGCCGCTCCAGTCGAAGAAGATGAACACACAATTTTTTGGCGCTCCGCGCTGAGTTCCCCTTTTTCCCCCGCGGCGCCTCCGTGGGAGGAAGGCGAAAATCGCTCCAGTCGAAGAAGATAGGCAGACACTTCTGGCGCTCCGCGCTGAGCCCCCCCCCCGCGGCGCCGCCGTGGGAGGAAGGTAAAGGTCGCTCCAGTCGGTGAAGATAAACATGCACTTTTGGCGCTCCGCGCCGGGTCCCCACCCCGCGGCGCCTCCGGCGCCGCCCCTGGCGCGCTCCGCGCGCCGGGAACGGGGGTCCAGCGCAGGTCCAAGAAGTCCGCGCGGAGAGCCTCAAGTTTATGTATAGGGCGTTCTTTCTTCTTCTATCCAGGGCGCTCTGGAAATCTCTCAGAGCGTGGTGCAGCGGTCTGAGCGGCCGCGGCGCCCAGCACTTTTCCAGCCTTACACATCTCTCCTTCTCATCGCGGGGTTTTCATCACCTTGTCTCGATGCCGATCTTTTGGATTGTCTCAGCTTCTGAAGACACATCCTTACGACTGTCATATTGTTCTTTGGTTTGCCAAATTTTGGGCTAAGGATCAGCTCGAGACTTGCTTGATTTATCCTCCAGATCTGCCAGATCTCACATGTGCCAGACCCGAAGTGTTCCTCGTCTTGCCACTTCTGTGTTCATCGCCCTCTACGGCTCCTCAGGTGCGGTTTTGCTGGACCAGGAGGGCGGGCTGTTCCATGATTGCATCTTCGGCTCTGCAACTGAGGGGTCGGGCTGCTTCCATGCGTGCATCTCCAACTCTTGCGTCTGCCCATGCGCTCCTGGCACGTCTCCTCCGATTCTCGCAGTTTTCTTCCCGTTCGGGCCTGCTTGTTGGCAGGCCCGCGGGCGAATGCCGGCGACGAGTCGTCCAGTCGGCCCGATTTTAAAACGATGTGTATGCGGAGACGGCCACGTATTTTGGCACGCGGTGTTCTAGATGTTTTCAGCGCCTTGCTGCTGGCCCACATCGACAGTGCACGCCGCCACTCTGTGCCGCTACAGACTTGCCGAGCTCGTCAGCGAGCGATCTCTTGTTCCAGGCTCGGTCACCCCAGCGAAGAACTATGTTTTTTTCTCCTCGGCTTCTCTGTCACCTCGTCATTCGTCCGCGAGCTATCTCTTGTTCCAGGCTCAGTCACCCAGCGAAGAACTATGCTCGTTATTCCTCGGCTTCTCTGTCTCAGGAGGGGAAGGCACGCACAGACACACGTCCATGTCGACTTCCAAGAACATATGGGATAGAATACTGGCATTGGGGGGAAGTCGAACATCATGGAAATATGGGAAACTATTGGGCATCCCGGGATTTGTGTGTAGTTGTTTGTGTGTTCCTGGGCTCCTGCATTGTCGCATCCTCGCTCCGTCCTTCCCTCTCCATCGGCAGCGCGTCTCCTTGCTCTTCCTCAAACCAAGCACCGACCCTCGAGCGTTGATCTTGAAGCGCCTGCGTGGACCAATCACCCGTGTGGGTCTCCCGCGTGGCCTTGCTGCACGAGGAGGTTCCCACCAGGCAGCGCGCGGCTCATTTAGAGGATCGAATGATGATGTAAACATTAGAACTCTGAGGTCCGCGCGGATTTCTCGGATCCGCGCTGGACCTCCCTGGCGGCGCCTCCGGCGCCGCCCCTGGCGCGCTCCGCGGTCAGCGCGGACCTCCGAGTTTTTCTGTTTCTGTCATTGTTCGTTCCCCTACTACTGTCTGAGCACATCTGCGGGTTGCAATACGTAGGACCCCGCAATTGCAGATGACAGTGAGGGGGCGGCGGGGTCGTCGGCAGTTCTGCGAGGCTCCGAAGAATCCCGCCGCAGACGCCGCGCTGTGCGTCAAAGCAGCGTGGGTGGGTCGCGGGTGGGTCGCGGGATGGGTCGCGGGGTGGATCGCGGGTGGGTCGCGGGTGGGTCGCGGGATGGGTCGCGGGGGGTTCGAGGGGTGGGTCGCGGGGTGGGTCGCGGGGTGGGTCGCGAGGGGCTCGCGGGATGACGACAACATCAACCAACAAACAAGCAGAATCCCGGCCACCGAATCCCATTTGACCCACGCACCCAGGGATGGTGTAAGACCGTTCTTCGGACGGAGCTAGAACTAGGATAAATCCGTTTCAGGGCGTTCCGTAACGCTTTCAGAGCGTTCCGGAACTCTGTGAGATGGCCGCAGTGCCCGGTGCAATTTCCAGAGCCGCCAGATTTTTTGATACGTTCGATGTATCATCACCCGATGTTATACTCGCCCCGGCTTCGTCTTAGTTCGGCCCCTCTCCTTCTCATGTGATCTTTCTCTTGGTATACATGTCACCTTCCCGCGGTCCATCCACCCCTGCTGCTGCTGCTGATTCTTCCTTATCATTCCCGACTCGCTCGTTTTCGTCCTGCGTTTTCCGTTTCTCCATAGTTTGCTTCTTCTCCGTTTCTTCCGTTTTCTTCTCAGCCAGATTTGTTTGTCTCATCCGCTTCATCCGTTCATTCCTCATCGTCGATTTCTTCTGCCTAATCGTTGATTTGTTTCCCTCCTCCTCATCAATTCTCGTCGTTACCATCCTCACATGTATGCCCCATATCCTGGATCAGCGAGGACGGAAGATGCGGGAGGGGGCCCAGGAGGAAGGGTGGGCATGAGAAGGAGCAAGGGGCATGCAGCCAACGGCGCGGCAAGAGACGGCAGCATCGACGAGAGGGTACGACTCCAGCAGGCGAACACACAGATACCTGCACATGGACATGCACGTATACTTACATTAGTAGTAATATATATATATATATATATATATATGTACACATATTTGAGCCGGCATGTGGTTACATATAGATGTACGAAGAGCTTCTCATGCATGTATAGCAGTGGTGCTTTCGGCTGGCTTCAGTGGCTGGATTGAGAAGCTCGTGTGCGGCCGCCACATGGCAAATGGTTCGCAAGTGCCCAGGGCGGGTCTCGCGATGTGGCCTCAGCTGGCACCGGTTAGCTTGCATTGGACAGCTCCGTCACCGCACACAAGCATCTCTGTAATTGCTTCGTCCGGCTCGGGTTCCCAGGGCCGTCCTCGGGCCGTGGGGCCGTCGGAGAAGCATTTCTCAGAGGGACGGAAGGCTGATCTCGTGGAAGGAGTCGTGGTCCAGGACCCGCTTCCATTTCCATGCCGTCGTGTTTTCGAGGACGCGTTGACCTCATCCTCTCCCTCCTCCCCCACCCTCGCCCTCCTTATCATGCCCCTCCCCTTCGTCGTCGACGCTGTTTGTCCCTGGTGGCTGCGCGTCTGAGAGGAGGCGCAAGCGAGTCAAGCGAGCAGCGAGGATGTGTGCTTGAGGATCTACGTAGTGCGTACCTTCTTGCTGTTGCTCCCCAAGGACCTATTGGGACCCCCCATGGGGCCTGGTGTGGTTCCGCGTTGTCCTGGCCAACGTCGGCGGCGAGCACCAGGGGTAGGCGTTTGTTCAGTCCGTGAGTTTCTTACAGTCACCTCTTCCTCCTTCTCGTTGACCTCCTCTCCCTCCCCCCGCCCCTCGCCCTCCTCGTCATGTCCCTCCCCCTCGTCGTCGTCGCTGTTTGTCCCTGGTGTCTCGCCTGGCAGGCGCCGCAAACGAATCGAGCGAGCAGCGATGATGTATTTCCGAAGTTACCCTTGCATCCTTGCCCCTCCGGCCCATCCTTTGCGACTTGAACAAAAAAGTCAACATGGCCTTCCAAGGCTCGTGCATCCTGGCGGTGCATCTTTGTTGTTCGTTTTGGCTAGATTTCAGCCTCTGCGGCCTGGTATCGGACCACGGAACCATCAACCATTGCTTTGGGGCGAAACACCACCTTCAGGTGATGGGGCGGGACCTTTCCCCGCCGCGCACTGAACAACAAATATCGCTGTCGATGCCTGGTAGCGCGAGGGGGGCGGCTTTCTTAGAACGCGGGGTGCTGCTTAGAACGCAGAGGCCCGTTTTCTGAGGACACTCCTCACGAGCCTCCCGGCACTCCTACGACGGCCTCTGCCTTTCAGAAGCCCCCCCCGCCTTCTCAGAAGGCCGCCACCCTCGGCCACTCCCTTGGGTGCGCCGCCAGCAAAGTTCCGCCCTGTACTGCCATGTAGGCGTGAGTCGGGCCTGTCTCTCTACAGGAGGAATATTCAAACATAGTCAAAACATGGTTTGGACGATTTTTCCACAATTTTTGATTACCTATACGACCACCCTTCGGGTGATAAGGAAGTTCGGTTCGGGGGGGGCGGCACCAACCTCTCACTGGATCGGTCTCACGATCGATCGCACTGTCGATCTCACTATCGGGCTCGCTCGATAGATCTCACTCGATCGATCTCACTCGATCTATTTCATTTGATCGATCTCACAATCGATCTCACTATCGATCGCACTATCGATTTCACAATCGAGGTCACGTTCGGTCTCACTATCGATTTCACTATCGATCTCACTATCGATATCACAATCGATCTCACAATCAACGTCATCATCATCAACAGCATCATCGTCATCAGCGTCAACAACATCAACAACAGCATCATCATCATCATCATCATCATCATCATCATCGTCATCGGGACACCATCATCATCACCATCATCATCATCAACCTCATCATCATCACCATCATCATCGGGACACCATCATCGTCACTATCATCATCATCATCATCATCATCATCATCATCGTCGGGACACCATCATCGTCATCACCATCATCGGAACACCACCATCATCATGAGCAACATCAACATCATCATCATCGGGACACCATCATCATCAGCAACACTAGCATCATCAACATCGTCAGCATCATCGGGGCACCATCATCTTCGTCACCATCATAATCATCACCATCATCATCATCGGGGCACCATCACCATTATCAACATCAGCATCATCATCACCTTCATCGGGCCACCATCATCAAAATCATCATCATCACCTCGTCATAATCCTCATTAGCAACGTCATCATCATCGGGACACCATCATCGTCATCATCATCATCAACATCACCATCATCGGGACACCATGATCATCACCATCATCATCAACAGCATCATCATCATCAACCTCACCATCATCATCCGGACACCATCATCATCATCATCATCATCTTCATCATCAGCAGCATCATCATCATCATCTCATCATCTCGTTATCATCACCATCATCAATATCATCATCATCAGCGTCGGGACACCATCATCATCAGCAAAATCATCGTTGATATCATCATCGGGGCACCATCATCATTACCACCATCACCATCATTATTATCATCATCATCATCATCATTATCATCATCATCATCATCATCGTCAACATCATCATCATCATCATCGGGACACCATCATCATCACCACCATTACCATCATCATCATCATCATCATAATCATAATCATCATCATCGACATCATCGTCACATCATCATCATCATCATCATCATCATCATCATCATCATCATCATCATCATCGGGACACCGACGGGACACTGGCGGGACACCGCCGGCCACCGGACGCCGGAAGGGAGTCAGTTGGTCCGGCCGCGCCTCAGCCACAGCGGGACACCGGCGGGACACCGCAGGCCACCGGCCCCCAGAAGGGAGTCATTTGCTCCGGCCGCGCCTCAGCAACAGGAGATTTTCCTTTCGCCCGCCCACGCAGCTTCGCCTCGCCCGCACGCACGGCACGCACGAACACGAAACCGAAACCGATTTCCCAGTAGGGGGGCTCTCCGTTCCACTTCGATCTCACCCCCTCACCTCCGCTTGTTGAGCATTTGTTTGACTATTTTTCTTTTCCCTCGCCTGTAGGGGGACAGGCCCGACCTAAAGGTAGGCCCCGATGGCCCCCCCATTGGCCCCAGACGAGGCCCCAGAAGGACTAGCTTAGGCTTCAAACTTGACACGAGAACCTGGGACTACAGGCCAAGGGCATTCAGCAATGAGACTGGGGAGGTGGACGAGCGGAAGGAATGAGGGAGCAGGCGAGGGGAGGGAGGCCGGAGGAGAAGATGGAAGTTGGGGATGAGGATATGTTTGAGGAGTGGAGGATGAGTAGGAGGAGAAGCAGGAGGAAAAGGAGGAGGGGAATCTAAAATGAGCGGGTAGAAAAGAAGAAGGAAGTTACAAGGAGGAGGGGAGAATGGTGTCTTCTTCCGTGCCTCTGTGTCCTGCT